TTCTCTGTATGTCTTTGGCGGTCAACATGATGGCCTTCTTGGTAAATGTTTGGTGATTGTGCTCATATGTTGGTTTGTCACATAGCATTACAGACATAGTAAGCAGAGGTTAAAGTGTTTTCTGCTCTGACTGGTTGGTTCTTGCTACCATCAACATCTTACTCGGGGTTTCATCCATGAGGAAGGGAATGTTTGTATCTTTTTATTTTTTACCCATGTTAATTTTGGAATGGTGTGTTTGTGATTCTGACGATTTTTTTATAAATTTGTGTTGCTATTCGGAGATGTTTGGTCCTTCAGATTCTATCTCTGTTTTTAAATTTCATCTAAGATATTTTTAACTACCTGGCCTGACACAATGTGCCAATTTATGAGAAGTGACAGTGGAACTTTTTCATATTTAAGTGCAGAGGACAACAAACCCCTGAATCAAAGGGTTTACTGTTTCCCATCAACTGGTAAAACAGGACCAATATGTCATGTTTTCCCGAAACATAGATTTAAAAGTTAAATGCACATTTAAAAGTATGTTATGGTAAATGGACCTGTATTGTATAAGCGCCTTTCTAGTCTTACGAGCCACATCAAAGCGCTTCACACTACATGCACACATATCACCCTTTCAGCACACATTCACACAGTGATGCAAGTCCCCTTGAACCAAGAAACTCATACAACATTCATGACACAATTCACACACCGATGCACAGCATCGGAAGCAATTGGGGTTCCAGTATCTTGTTCAAAGGATACTGATCGACATGTGGCAGGAGGACCGGGGATCGAACTACAACCTTCCGATTAGGTAGGAACCGATTAGATAGGGACCGCTCTGCCTCTGAGGCACAGCGGTCACTATCTTGTTTACAAATCCCCAATCATCCTAAAATGAAGTGAACCAGTCTATGCATTGATCCGATATCACATAATTTATCAGCCCCAAGTCATGACCCATTTTACTCTGACTCTGATTGGCTTGCCCTGATATTCTTAACCCCAAGCCTAATCCTACATCAAGGACACATATGATTTCACACACAAAATAAAAAACACCACTGTGACGGAGGGAGCCATTTTATTCACCATTGATATAGATAGTCTATACACCAACATAGAAACTAGAACAGGACTGCAGGCCGTCAAAACGACCAGGCCAGACACAATACTTTTACAACTCCTAGAAATCAAATCCTTTGAGTTTAACAAGGAGTGTAGATTAAAGGCACGGCCGTGGGCAAAACATTTGCCCCAGCCTATGCCAACATTTACATGCTGAGAGGAAACTGTTTTTGAGAAGTGCCCGAAACATCCGACTCATTACTACAGATACTTAGATGATATATGGGGAATATGGACACATAGCCTAGAGAATTCCACCAATTTATAGAGATACTAAGCACTCACCATAGTTTAATCACAGTTAAATACACCACACATTACACACACATAGACTTTTTGGACACCACCACCTACAAAGGACCTACATTCACTCAAACACACACTTAAGTTTATTTTAAAGACACTGACACACATGCACTACTACACAAAAACAGCCTCCACCCAAACACACATTTAAAGGACTAATTAAATCACAACTACTCAGATTCAACAGAATCTGCACACAAACAGCGGACTTTGAAGAGGCTACTCAGACGCTCTTCAAGGCATTAAAAACCAGGGGATACTCCAGGTCCTTCCTCAGACAAATCAGGAAGGACTTCCTCACCCCAATAACAGAGGATAGGAGGAAAATCATCCCATTATTCACAACCTACTCAACATATAGTGTAGCAGCTAACAAACACATTAAGAACAACTTCACCTAGAAAATACAAAACACAAACATGCTCCAGGATTATAAACTAATCTCAGCCTACATGAGGAACAAAAACCTAAGGGATTACCTAGTTAAAAGTAAATTACCGAAATTAAACACCTTGTTCCTTAACAATATAACATTCTTACCCTAACCAATCTCACTCTTCATGCCTAAACCCAACCAATCCAAACCCATACGTAAAGTTCAGGTGTCGGAATCAGTATCTGGAAGGAACAAATTACATTAGCTCCCCACTAGTACTCTACAACACCCACTTGTTGACCAACATTGTGATCCCCAGTGGATAAATCCCTATGTGTTTGGTAATCCCCTGCCCCTCTGTTCAGGGTCACCCTCAAGGCCACTTTTACACACAAAATAGCTCAGTCTGCCAGTAAATGTACTGAGCACTACTTGCACACTGACATTGCCAGTTTACACACTGTGATGCTCACAAGAAGATAATCTTTTTATATTTTATATTTTCCTTTATCATTTTTACCAGGAATCAAGCTTCAACATATCTTTTATACAGTCACTCTCATGACTCTCATTTTGGGGGGCTGACACATGGAAACACCATATTTGGTAATAGGTTTCAGCATTCCTTATCCCACTACTCACCAAGCATCTGGTAGACAGAACACAGAATGGGAATTAACACAGTTTTTCCAACTTTATCTGGAATGAGGCCTCTCTTTCCTTTCTTTTTCTTTATTAAAGCGACTTTTCTTCTTAGAAGTTAAGAAGAAACAATCTGCTTAAAAATCATCCAAATGGTTTACTTAACACAAACTTCCTGCAGTTGTTATTGTTATACATTGAACATAACACATAGAAATGTCCATAAAATGTGTCACTTGGTCAGGGGTCATCAGTTTACTCAATTAAACAAAAGGGGTCACTTAAGGAAAGGTTTTGGGAACCACTGGTCTGAGGGCTTCAGTATGCTTGAAAAAGAGACAAAACAGACTTCCTGTGATCAGGGTGACACACCTGCTGTCTTACTATAATACCATAGAAAAGGACAAACCCCTGCTATGTACTCAGATGACAAGGTTTAGGGACCAGACTGTCCTGATCTTATTGTCTTCTGTCTTTTATCTTTCTTCATACTAAGACAACGGTGTCTCTGGGGAATATTTATAGGCCCATTTACACTGTCTTTGTAATCGTCTGGTTTTAGTTTTGTGTCTTGGTGGCTGTGTTTTAGTGTTCTTGCACTTTAATTGCCTTGTTAAATCACATAATACAAATATTTTATTGTAAAGCTTAAGAAGCTGCAGTGTGTGAACAAACGCAACCACACAAATGAGAAGAGAGTAATAGCTGTGAGTGATGGGACAGTGACCTCATGAGTTATTTATGGAGACTTTTGTTTCAAGGCTTTTTTGTTGTTACTGTATGAGTCATGCTGTTTGTTTATTTAGTGTCGCCTAAAATATACAGAACATCTTTAAAAGTGACTTGGCTAACCCCCACCACCCCTGAGGATTTGGTACATTCCACATATGGTTGTGAATGGAAATTTGGCTTGTACCACCCACCCAGTTCTCAGTGGGGGCTGCAGTAACATCGAATCAACTGTTGCCAAGACAACACAGGAGATCACACACACATACATACAATCTAGAACTAACTTCACACTGACAGCCTTTTTCTCTGAAGGCAGAAAAAGCTACATGTGACGACGGTGCTGATGGGGGCTGTGGCTCAGAGGTAGAGCGGGCCGTCCACTAATCACAAGGTTGGTGGTTTGATCCCTGGCTGCTCTTGTGTCCTTGTGCAAGATACTAAACCCTAAATTGCTCCTAATGCTGTGCATCGGTGTGTGAATGTGAATGAATCACGTAGTTTCATTCACATAACACAATAGTCTAATAATATTGACATTACTAACTTCAAACAGCATTCAATGCATTTTTATCATCTCTGTGTTTTGCAGCCAAACAACAACTGAATACCTGAAACCTGCTCTCTTTTTATTAACCCTTTGCAGGCACCTTTGACCCTGGCCATTCATTTCTGCCTGAAACAAAATAAAACATTTTAAAATGGAATTGTATTTTTATTTTTATTGTATATAAAGTGGTACTTTAAATTGTTAAGATACAACAAAAAAGAATAATAATTTTGAGGGTCGGAAATGGGCCAGTACTTTGAGATTCCTGTTCTAGAATAGAGTTACATGGAACCATCTGGGAAGTTGTCGTTAGAAACTGTTTAGAAAAGGACAAACCCTTTCAAAAAATACTACAGGTGATTGGATGAACCACCTGTCTATCACCGTCTAACCGTCAAACTTCAACCAGTCAGATCAAGGAACCAGATAATGTAGTCAAACTCTTACTGAAACAAGTTGGGAGAAGAGTGAAAACAGTTGGTCCGAACCAAAGATTGAAGCCTGGCAAGATAGATTCTCACATAAGGAGTTATTATTGATTAGTGGCACAATTTTTAAATAACATACTATTTCTATACAGTATCAAGTATTATCAATTCAAAAGTCCAAGTGAAGTCATGAGTCATTAGTGT